TGTAGTAATACCTGGGGGGGGGACGAGGGGGGAGCAAATAGGGGGGTTAACGGGGGGGTCTCAGCCCCCCGGCGAGGATTGGGGTCCCCGGGTTGGGGTCCCTGCGGCACCTGAGGGCCCTGCTGAGCTTGTCGTAGTTCATTTGGGGTTTGCGCTTCCTCCTCCCCCACAGCCGGGCCACCTCCTCGGGGTCCTTGATGACGAACTCGCCGTCCCCTCCCCGCTGCCAGGCGATGACGTGGCGGAATTCCTCCTTCTCCAGCAGCTCCAGGATGAAGTGCCACAGCTGGATCTGCCTGGAGCCCGGGCTGGACTCGCCTCGGGGCGCCCAATTGGGGAACGGGGGCACTGCGGGGCCAGGGGGGGCACGCTCAGGGCTCGGGGGGGTTCGGGGGTGTCACCCCGAGGGAAAGGAGCTGCCCCCCCTTCCCAGATCCCGGGGAACGTCCAAGGAGGATGAGGATGGTCCTGCGCCATCCCCGGGTGCCTGAGGGGCTGCAGGGAAGGGACGGGTGGAAAACTGGGGGGGCTAAAAGAGGGTCCTTCACCCCCGCCCACCCCAAGGTCCGGCGGGGATCCCCCGGGAGCTCTCCTGGCACCCGGGAGGGTCGGGAAGGACGGGAAGGACGGGCAGCCCCTCTCACCTGATGCCCGGGAGGGGCCGGGCAGGACGGGCATCACCTGGGCCAGGTATTCCCGCGGCATCCTCCGGCCTGGGGGGGCAAAGCAGAGGAGCCCCGGGGGGAGAACCTGGCGCCGGGATCCACCCGGGATCCACTCGGGATCCACCCGGGATCCGGCCGGCACTGGATGAGGGGAGTCACCCAGGACCTGAGGGATTCACCAGGACCTGAGGGATTCCCCTGGATCTCAGGGATTCCTCCAGGACCCGGGATCCATCCAGGACCCGGGATCCATCCAGCCTCCGGGAATCCTCCCGGCTCCAGCTCCAGCTCCTTCTCGGTGGTGGCGGGGGGGGGGTCCCAACCCCTCCCCTCCTGACTCACCTGCAGCCCCTGAAGGGCTTTTCCTGGGCTGGAAAATCCCACTGAGGGTCTCGGGAAGCATCTCCCGGGATATAAAGGAAGGGGTGAAGGGGGGGAGGTTAAGCCTAAATCTGCTTATGGGGAGGGTGGGGGGAGCGGGGGAGCAGCGGGGGGGGCGTGTTTGGGGGTCCAAAGGAAAAGTCCAACCTGTTTGTGCCCCTTCCCGGGCGCTGGGTGGGTCCCTCCAGTGCCCGATTCCAGATCCAGCCAAAAAAAAACGGGAATAAAAAAGATCTGGGAGCGACGGGACACAGCGATGGAGAGCATTTATCCCCTCTTGCTCCCCCTCTCCCGATTCCCGGCCCCGTGTCCCAGCCGGGAAAACCCAAACAGGATCATTTGGGATAATTGGATCAGCCTGGGGAGGCAAACGGGGCTCCGGGAGCAGCAGCTCCAAAGGGCAGGAGGTTGTGACCCCCCCTTTGAGGGCCTGGATGATGGGGGGAGGCTCCATTCCCGGTTTTTCCTCTCCCAGTTTGCTTTCCCATCCTTGTTTATTCCCAATTTCCCATTTCGAGTCTCGGGGAGGCGCCCCCGGGACCCCCGTGGAGGCTTGGAACCACCTCCGAGCAGGATTTTCCACGGATCAGGGAAAGAGGACCCCCAAATCGGGGTGGGGGGTGTCCCCAGGGCTCGCAGGGAGCTGATCCCACAGGGCTGCTTGTCCAGGTTGGGATTTGGCCGCGTTCCCGCCCCTTTATCTCTCCCAAATCCTGCTCCGAGCTCCTTATCCAGCCCTCCCCGGGAACATCTCCCCTCCCTCCCCAGGTGGAGGTGAGGGGGCTCTTTGTTTAAAAGCGTTTAAATCCGATTAAACCAAGAGGATTTGGGAACATCGGAGCAGCCTCCGGGAAAACCCCGGCAGGGTTGGGAATTGGGGGGGATCAGATCCCGGGGCTCATCCCGGAGCTGCCACGGAGGGACGGAGAAGGAGCATCCCGAGGTGACACCACACCCCTCCCATTCCCGGGGCTGGGAGACGCCCTGGGATGCAGGATCTGATCCCGTCCCGGGCTCGGAGCATCCCCTGATGCCCACGGTGGTTTCTCCCTTCCTAATTCCCACCTTTCCGTCTCCTGGCACTGTGGGGTTGGAAAGGTCCATCCCAGGATTTGGGGTGTCCCTCCCAGGACTGGATAACAGCCCATCCCGGGCCTGGATAAGTCCGTCCTGGCCCATCCTGGGCTTCAATGCCCATCCCGGGGTTGGGCACTGAGGGAGAGGGGAGCACTGGATCCAACTTCCAGCCTTGGAGCTCTTCCAGGTGCCTGGGATTTGGGCTGGGATCGAGTCCCCTTCATCCCCTGAGCCCAGTCCTAATCCCCAAAGCTCCTTGGGGTTTTCCCTTGCTGCCCAAATCCTCTTTGGACCCGGGAGCAGGAGGGGCTGGCACGGGCGCACCAACGGAGGGAACAGGGAGAAACCTCCCCCGATTTGGGAAAATGGGAAAAAATAGGGAAAATGGGGAAAAGGAGACACATTCCCTGTCTGCACCAACGGGAGAGAACAGGGAGAAACCTCCTGGATTTGGGGAAATTGGGGGAAAGGAGACACATTCCCTGTCTGCACCAACGGGAGAGAA